CACATTCCAATTCCAGACATTCTGACTCTAATGAGCAACTGTGGTTGAGATCCCTGTCATGTTACTTCCGTCTGCGAAGAGCTGGTGCTATGGCTGTTAAAGTTAACCAGAAAGCCTTTAAAGCGACCCGGCCCTAACGCCGGGGTGGTGCACGCAAACAAAACGCTAAGGCAACAACCCATCCACCTGCATGTAATGTGCCTTAATATGTTTCTATCTGTCTGCTACCAGGTACCGGGGGTGGCCATATTTTCACACCACTGAACCAAAAACCAGGATGCATCCCCCTTCTCTGATGAAGTTCATCAGGTACTTGTCCATGTCTCATGTAGTCAAAAGAAACTCAAGCTGCATCTTTAAAAATCCTGAGGTTCCGTTTTCCCTGGATGCTACCTTTTAGCTGAGATACTTGAACTAAGGTGCTCAACCCCACCAACCCTCAGCATCCTTTAAAATGGAGATGAGGGGTCCCTGGGTGGCTCAGTCATTGGGTGTCTGCCCTCGGCTCAGGTCATGATCCCGGGGTCCTGAGATTGAACCCCACATTGGGCTCTCTGCTCAGCAGGGGGCCTGCTTCTCCCTCTCCCACTCCCCCTGCTTGTGTTCCTTCTCTTGCTGTGTCTCTCTCTGTCAAATGAATAAATAAAATCTTTAAAAAAAAATAAAATAAAATGGAGATGACACTTTCTTTTCTATTTTCAAAAAATATTTCTAGTCACAAATGAAAGAGTGTGATATATATAAACACCCTTTGAAAACTCTATAGCCATGTGCAAACACAATTAAGGGGCTGGCTCTCGATGGACCTGCCAGAAGTTGATTCCTCTCTTGTGTCCTTTTTTATTTTATTGTAATTGTAAACATTACTGTTTAAAAGGTTTAGGCAAGAAATATTTTCATGTCTTGTATGTTCGCACGAGTTTGTGTTTTCAAACCTAGAGATGTGATTCTGAAATCTCCTTCATCAGTAAGAGGCAAATCATGTGAGCAAACCAGTCTTTTGACAGAAGAGAGGTTCTTTCTAGTTTATGGTTTCTAAAAATAAGCTTTCCTAATTTGGCACAGCTGTTGGGAAGCAGAGCTGGGTTGTCAGTAGCCGAAAGTCCCCAAGTGCATGCTGCATGCACAGTATGGTCAAATGTTTGCGGAACTACTGAGAAAATCCCAGGCATATGTGTTTTGTTCTAACAACTTAACACAGCGTGCTTTTTTTTATTTTGTTTTTATAGAAATGTTCAGGTTCTCCTGGAGTCCTTTGAACTGTTGCCAGTTTATGATTTAAGCCTTTGACTTGGCCCTGAGGACAGAAGTTGAAAACCAAAGATGAATAGACATGTGGACTCTTACACATGAGAGTTGTCCAGTTAATATTTCAAGCCACCAAGGCCAGGCTAGCAGGAAGCATGTATTTTATTTTTGTTCTAAAACATTACATTTTGAGATATTTCCAGAAGGGCTTTTGTGAGAAATCAATCCATTGTATGTGGGCAGAGGGCTATCTCTCAATGAGCTCCTTACTTTTAATCCCTTGTTCCAGAGTGTCTTACTGATGTTGGTGGTATGAGAAGAAGAAGGAGCAGAAGATGAAAAAAGAGTTAGGAATTGTTTATTCTATTATATTTTATGAAGTGATTTTATGTGTTAGTATCTAATTTCCACATTTCTTCATAATACTTAAAACACCTCAGTGAGATCATTGATTTCATACATGAGGAAATGTAACTTCTTAAAAAAAAAAGATTTATTTTTATTTACTTTATTTAAGAGGGAGAGAGAGAGAGCAGGGGGAAGGGACAGAGAGAGAAAGGGAGAGAATCTCAAGCAGACTGGCTGCTGAGCTCAGAGCCTGATGCTGGGTTCGATCTCACAACCCTGAGATCATGACTAGAGCAGAAATCAAGAGTCGGACACTCAGGCGACTGAGCCACCCAGGCTCCCCACATAGCCTTTTTTAAAGACATAGTTTCCTATGCATCATATAACTTAAAACTTGAACTTCTGATTCAAAGTCTGACATTTTTTCTACCAAACAGTTGATTCTTTATCTGCATTCATTGCTCTACATGTGAAATACGGAGCTTACACTGTGAGTTAATCTATTTGCAAAAAAGCTTGAACCAGTGTCCTGTACAGTGGGGGTGCTATATTGAAATTTGATAAATAAATGAAATAACATTTTTGTCATGAGAAGAAAGAATGAAACATAGCTAATTGTTAATGTCCATCTCAAACATAGGGGGAAAATGTCCTCCAAGGTCCCAAGAAGAAAAATACTTTAATGTGTTAATGAATATTATTGGAAAAAACAACGCAAAATATAGTTTGTGTTATTGCTTAGAATCACACTGATTTTAAGAATGGATGATGCAGGGGCGCCTGGGTGGCTCAGTCGGTTGAGCGACTGCCTTCGGCTCAGGTCGTGATCCTGGAGTCCCGGGATCGAGTCCCGCATCGGGCTCCCTGCTCGGCGGGGAGTCTGCTTCTCCCTCTGACCCTCCTCCCTCTCATGCTCTCTGTCTCTCATTCTCTCTCTCACAAAATCTTAAAAAAAAAAAAAAAAAAAAAAAAAAAAAAAAAAAAAAAAAAGAATGGATGATGCAGGGCACCTGGGTGGCTCAGTTGGTTAAGCCACTGCCTTCGGCTCAGGTCATGATCCTGGAGTCCCGGGATCGAGTCCCGCATCGGGCTCCCTGCTCAGCAGGGAGTCTGCTTCTCCCTCTGACCCTCCCGACCCTCCCCCCTCTCATGTGCTCTCTCTCAAATAAATAAATAAAATCTTAAAAAAAAAAAAAAAATGGATGATGCAGTTTTACAGAGCAGGTCGGAGAAGACTGCTCCGTATATCTCACTATGACATCTGTCAATGAACAAGCCCTTTCCCTTCTCAAAGACACATTGACAAGAAATTGGCAGAAACGACATAATTGAAATGTAATGACTGCACCCTTTCAATGGCTTCTCTCTTAGAAGGAAAAGGTTCTACCACTCTGATGGCACACAATATAATTTCAAAAGTCACAACCTGTTATGGGCTGAATTCTGCTCCCCCAACCCCATTCATATGTTGAAGTCCTAACCTCTAGTATCTCAGAATATAACTATATTGAGAGATAGGGTCTTCAAAGCTAATTAAATTAAAACGGGGCCATTGAGATTGTCCCTAGTACAAACTGAATGGTGTCTTTATAAAAAGGGGAAATTTAGACTCAGATGCACATAAAGGAAAGACAGTGTGAAGATGGCCAACTACAATTGAGGGAGAAAGGCTTCAGAAGAAACCAGCTGTGCTGACACCTTGATCTTGGACTTCCCAGCTTCCAGACTGTGAGAAAAGAAAATGTATTGTGGAAGCCAGTCTGTGCTACTTTGTTGTAGCAGCTCTAGTAAACTGATACACTGTTTTGAGTCAGTGGCTCTCATGTGTGGCTGCATTTTAGAATTACTTTCCTCTTTTCAACAATTCCATGCTCAGGACACCATCCCAGAGTGGTGGGGTCAGAATTACTGGGGACGGGGCCTGGATGGCTGTGTTTTTCAAAACTTTGCAGGAGATTCTAGTAAAATTTAAGTTGAGGACCTTTCAGGGAGGGAAAACAAATCTTTCATCTACTGTCTGGGTGGCTGAAGCTCCTTATTCAGAGTAAAGGAAGACATCCCGCATGGGTCAGTAATGATCCAACCTGGCTGATCCTTAGAATCATCTGAGTATCTTTTTAAAATTTCACAGAAATTCTTTTTTTTTTTTTTTTTTTAAGATTTCATTTATTTGAGAGAGCGCAAGAGAGAAAAGGCACAAGCAGGGGGAGGGGCAGAGGGAGAGGGAGAAGCAGACTCCCCACTGACCACGGAGCGGGAGGTGGGGCTTAATCCCCAAACCTGAGATCATGACCTGAGCTGAAGATAGACACTTAACTGACTGAGCCACCCAGGCACCCCAAAATTTCATAGAAATTCTGATCCATAAGTATGATTCGTAAGTTGGATCTCTGGGACAGGGGACAGGAATGTTTAAGTCTATCTGTGATTCTGATGATACTTCAGGTTGAGAATGGCCTCACATTTGTTTTTATGCATCCATGGGTGCAGTATGTGCATGTGTATGTACATATTATCTTCAACAAGGAAAATTACCTGTAATGCCACCAACTAGGAGCTCGTTCATACTTCTGGTCTGTGATTGTTTCCTCAGGTCTTTTTCCTTCAGTAGACATTTCAAGATGAGAGTGTTAAGGATACTGGGAATGACTTTCACAATTAGAGGTGGAATTTCACTGTTCAGTGTTTTGTAGTAATGACCCAAGGTTAATCGGTATTTTCTCTTTTTAAAACCTGCTGTTAGGGCAAAAGGTCTGATGCTAACAAATTATGGGGTTCACAATTGAAGTGTAAATTGAACTTCTAATTCATTTGTTTGCTACCCATTCCTCCTTATGAATACACTAATCAGCCTCTTGGGGGAATTCACTTGTGTAGCCATATATACACAAGACATTTCATTGACCTGAAGTCACTGATCTCTAGCCCAACAAGTTAAGATCAGGCTAGAAGAAAAAAAACCCACGAAAAGTCAATGTTAAAATAATAACTGACATGTGTCAGGAATAATACTAAGTGCTTATATTCATAATTTTAAAACATCCCCGTGAGATGTGCCGCTATCTAGGCTTTACAGATGGGGAAAGTGAAGCCAGGTCATAGGTGTTGGGTAGCTCTCCCAGCGTCCCTGGGCCAGGAAGTGGCAGAATCATTTTGACTCCAGAGCCCATGCACTTAATAAGTTATTCTTCCCTACTGACCCTGACCTTACCTGGTGACTCCTGCCTGAGCCCTTTTCTAAAATTTTTTTAATACTCTTTCAGACCTAATTCTAGCAAGCTTGATTTTTGTTTCCTAACCAATATCAGGTTAGAACAAGTTTCCCGATCAAAATGCCAAAGCCAGAAATGATATTAGATATTAGATAGAAATAGATGTTTGTAGAGGCGGCACACAGGGCGAAGATGGCAGCGGAGTGACAGGACGCGGTGAGGGAGTTCGTGGCGGTGACTGGGGCCGAGGAGGACCAGGCCCGCTTCTTCCTCGAGTCGGCCGGCTGGGACCTGCAGATCGCCCTAGCGAACTTTTATGAGGATGGAGGGGACGAAGACATTGTGACCATTTCGCAGGCAACCCCCAATTCAGTGTCCAGAGGCACAGCCCCCAGCGATAATAGGGTGACATCCTTCAGAGACCTCATTCATGACCAAGATGAGGAGGAAGAGGAGGAAGAGGGCCAGAGGTTTTATGCCAGGGGCTCATAGAGAAGTGGACAGCATATTGTTGGCCCTCCCAGGAAGAAAAGTCCCAACGAGATGGTGGATGATCTCTTTAAAGGTGCCAAGGAACATGGAGCTGTAGCTGTGGAGCGAGTGACCAAGAGCCCTGGAGAAGCCAGTAAACCAAGACCGTTTGCAGGGGGTGGCTATCGTCTTGGGGCAGCACCGGAAGAAGAGTCTGCCTACGTGGCAGGAGAAAGGAGGCAGCATTCTGGCCAGGATGTTCATGTAGTGTTGAAGCTCTGGAAGAGTGGGTTCAGCCTGGACAATGGTGAACTCAGAAGCTACCAAGACGCATCCAATGCCCAGTTTCTGGAGTCGATTCGCAGAGGGGAGGTGCCAGCCGAGCTATGGAGGTTAGCTCACGGTGGGCAGGTGAATTTGGACATGGAAGACCATCGGGATGAGGATTTTGTGAAACCCAAGGGAGCCTTCAAAGCCTTCACTGGAGAGGGTCAGAAACTGGGCAGCATGGCCCCCCAGGTGTTGAATACCAGCTCTCCAGCACAGCAGGCGGAAAACGAAGCCAAAGCCAGCTCTTCCGTCTCAATCGACGAGTCCCAGCCCACCACAAACATCCAGATTTGGCTCGCCGACGGCGGGAGGCTGGTGCAGAAGTTCAACCACAGCCACAGGATCAGCGACATCCGACTCTTCATCGTGGACGCCCGGCCGGCCATGGCTGCCACCAGCTTTGTCCTCATGACTACCTTCCCGAACAAAGAGCTGGCTGATGAGAGTTAGACCCTGAAGGAAGCCAACCTGCTCAACGCCGTCATCGTGCAGTGATTAACATAACCGCCCACCTGGCCGGCAGCCTCATCTCCCTCCTGCATCTCCCATGGCCAGCTGCCCCGTGGGCACCACCCCTCCCGCCCCCTCCCTCACACCCAGCAGTCCAGTGCCACGTCTCCTCCATAGCTCTGGGTTCTTAGATCTTGGTTGGACATTTGTTTTCTCCTTAGTTGCATTTCCTGGGTTTTTGTGACGATCAATGGACTTTAAAGAAAAAAATAAAAATAACCAAAAAAAAAAAAAAAAAGAAATAGATGTTTGTAGGGTAATTGGTCCCTTTTCACAGTTCTCTTGTTTTCACTTACAAAAAAGTAATACACTATGATTTCCCTGACTATAGTGGGTTTTGTAATAATCTTCTCATGTATAACATTATAAAAGATAGCTACATGTCCATCAACATTCATAATCTCATCCCGACACAAAAGCTATTTTTCTTTTGCCTCCTATATTCTCGTCTTCGACCTCCTGGCATTTTTGTATCATTGCAGATTAGCATATATACTTCTCCTATTTAGTTTTTTACGTAGTTCCAAGTAGTTCTAGGTAGTCATCAAAGTAAATATCTGCACATGGTCCCTTGAGCTGATAGATCTGGATTTACAGTCTCATGCCTTGGCACCGTCCATGCTTTCTCTTTTTTTTTTTTTTTTTAAGATTTTTTATTTATTTATTTGACAGAGAGAGACACAGCGAGAGAGGGAACACAAGCAGGGGGAGTGGGAGAGGGAGAAGCAGGCTTCCCGCTGAGCAGGGAGCCCGATGCAGGGCTCTATCCCAGGACCCTGGGACCATGACCTGAGCCGAAGGCAGACGCTTAACAACTGAGCCACCCAGGCGCCCCATGCTTTCTGTCTCTTAAAGTCACCTAGATTGCAAGCCTTCCGAAGTGGATTACGCTTACTCTAAAATTCTTCTCTCAATCTGCAGAGCTTGTCATACTGAAAAACAAATCTGTTTTAATGCTCTATGTGTATATGAATATACAACTATAGGCAGTGGTTTCAAGCATGTATTTCAGAATTACGCAGATTTGGACTAATATCCTTGCTCCTCTATTGTTCACTCCCCGAGTCACTACAGGGGAAGCTACTTAACCTTTTTGAATCCCAGTTTTCTTTTCTCCAAAGTGGGGACAAGAATACCTACTTGGGGGCGTCTGGGTGGCTCAGTTGGTTAAGCGACTGCCTTCGGCCCAGGTCATGATCCTGGAGTCCCAGGATCAAGTCCCGCATCTCCCTGCTCAGTGGGGAGTCTGCTTCTCCTTCTGACCCTCCCCCCTCTCACGCTCTCTGTCTCTCATTGTCTCTCTCGCAAATAAATAAAATCTTAAAAAAAAAAAGAATACCTACTTGGAGGAAGAGATTAGATGGCAAAGTAAAGGTGGTGCCAGCCCGACCCACTAAATACCCAGGAACAGCTCAGCAGCGTTGTAATGCAAGTTTGATTTACCGCAATCTAAAATACAGTCATTGGGGGCACCTGGGTGGCTCAGTCGGTTAAGCGTCTGCCTTCGGCTCAGGTCATGATCCCAGGGTCCTGGGATCGAGCCCCGCATTGGGCTCCTTGCTCAGCAGGGAAGCCTGCTTCTCCCTCTCCCACTCTCCCTGCTTGTGTTCCCTCTCTCACTGTCTCTCTCTCTGTGTCAAATAAATAAATAAAATCTTTAAAAATAAATAAATAAATAAAATAAAATAAAATAAAATACAGTCATTGTATGAAGCAAGGTAACACATGTATGTGAGAGTCTTACAATGAGTCTGGTCCTACTTGGAAAGTGACCGAAGCACTCTTCTTTCGGTGAATCTGGGTGAGGTTTCCCTGTGTATGTTACCCGAACACGTGTGTTCGTGTCAGTGTGTCCATCTACTGCCGTGAGCCAGGACCACTAGTCAGGGATGTGGAAATGTTTCTGGAGGAAAAGTGGAAAGAAAAGAACCAGAATGGCTTCTTTCATCCAAGGCTAATCCCGTGAGCATCGGAGGGGAGGATATGCAGGCCTACCTAGAGTAGTTTTACGTTTGCTGAAGGGTGGATACGTTATAAAATCTTGCAGACACAGTGACTGGAAGGCAGGATTCAGAAATAGGTTCACATCAACTTGAAGCTGTAGAAGTTCATTCTAGAGTTGGGGGGAGGGCTTGTGGAAGGGGGTCCAATGAAGGCATTCTGGGACCACATGGCCCGGGTTCGACTCCTGGGTCAGCCCCTTAGTTGCATGACCTTGGACAAGTCCGTTTGCTTTCCTGCGGCCAATTCCTTTAAATGTAAAGTGGGGATAAAAATAGCACTTACCTTCTAGGGTTGTTGTGAAGATTAAGTAAATTAATTTACCAAACTGCTTAGGACAATATATGGCAAAAAAAAAAAAAAAAGCATTCAGTAAATGTTAGCTGTTATCATCTACCTACCTTCAGAGGGCCTTGAACGGTCACTTTTGCTGTTGCCAAGATTTTTTCTTTTCCTCTCTTTTTCTTTTTTTTCATGATTGCACCTGGATTTATGTGCATTTTTATTTAAGAGGTTTCTGATTTTCCGGGGGCAGATAAATTTATGACATTATGAATGATAAGTCCTGAGCCTGTTCTGTTATTAAATTACAGTTGTGGGCACAGTTACTTTATATATTAGGAATTGTTTATCATCCTTACCGATCTTTAAGAGGCAAAATCTGTACTCTGATAGGCCTGGGTAGCAAGGAACACATTTGTAGGCAGGATAAAAATTTAAACAGTCCCCACACTTCTGAGATTAGAATACCAACTAGTTCTTAGCAAAGGTGTTTGCTCTGGATTCCAATTGCATTTCTTGTGTTCTGTGATGAATTCATCTAACCACAGCTGGAGTTTGGGGCAGGTCTGTCCCTCCACCTTCATTAATTTCTTGTCCTTGCTGCCTGCTGAAAGTGTGTTGGCAGAACACGACTGTGCTTTCACGCTTCCTTTCTCTCTGCTCTTTTGCATTCAGAGTCTCAGGGATTCGACTTGTCACTAAGCCCAGTGTAGAGCCACTGATCTCTGAATTCTGCTAAGTTTTTCATGCTGTTACTCCAGAATGTACTACAAGGCTCACAGACGTTGCTACCCAGGCAGTTCCCAGGGGCAGCGTGGAGTTGCTCAGGAGCCAGCCTCTGTCTTGAATCTGGAAATGTGTGTGGCTGGCTGGCACACTGGCGCCGGGCCCACTCAGGTCACCTGTTCAGCGAGGAGTACAAGATTCTATTCGGCCAACATGTACTGGGATTTTTACACTGGGTGGGACTTAATGCTAGGCAGTTTTACATGCCTCCTCGTTTATCCTTGCAACATCCTGGTCCCTGTTTTGCAGATTGTTGAGGCTGCCTGAGGGAGACCCACCGTCTCAGCCTGAGTTTTGAACAATCTAAGAAAGAAAGCAAAAGAGCAAACATGGAGGCCAAAACATCAGCTTCATTGTGAAGAAGGGAAGTTGGCAGGTGTAAGACAGTGTCAGAGCCAAATGAGCTTGCAAAGGTTGAATCCCAAATTAGGCAGATGTACACACCAGTTACAACATCAGTGGGAGCCTCCTCACCTGCTCCCAGACCCCAGCTGTATCTGAACTCTGGGTCGGGCCGTCAAAATGGGCTTCCCTGTGGGCAGCTTATTCCCAAGAGGAAGAAGTATGGAGCTGAATGGAGCTTGCCTAGTTATTCTCCCCATATGTACTAAGCCAGTAAATCACCCCTCCTGGAGCTGAATGGAATGAGTCAAGTGTTGGAGAGAGGCCAGGAGTTTGTTTACGGAAAATATGTCTTTATGAAAAGCAGTGTGGAGGAAAGTTCAGATGAGGAAACGGGAGCACGGAGAAACCCAGTAACTTGCAAAAATCTTTAACAGCTCCATAGCAGTGGAGCTGAAATTTGAATATCGTTTTTGCACTCTTCCACAGTAGACTGAGTGAGAGCTTTTCTCCAAATGAAAAATTAGAATGTTGACCGACGAAAGAGCCGTGAAAGGTCATTTATCTTCTAGAATCCAAAACAAGATTTTACATAAACTATCCAAGAATGATAGGCAGGTTTTTTTCTCCCCTAGTTTTGCTAAAACCTCTGTACTTTTGTTAACTCTCTGTTGAAAGTTCTAGTGGCCTTGTCTTTCACGGTATGGGTCACTTTCTTCTCATGAAGATATCCTGGCCACTGGACTTCTTCCTCCTAAAACTGACTCTGACCTGGTGGGACACCAGAGTCCGTGTCCTGATAAACTTGCTTTCAGACCACTGACTTTGGAAACCAGCTTCCTTCCCCATGCTAGGGGCTGCGAGAACTCTCTGCATAATTCCTACCTGCCCTGATGTACTCAGCATTGGTGGGCCAGCTGAGGGCCTGCTAACCTTCTTGAGGGCTTGGGTTTGTTTGTTTGTTTGTTTGTTTGTGGGGATTTTTGTTTTTTGTTTTTGTTCATGGGTTTTTTTGTGTTTTTTGTTTGTTTTTTTTTTTTTTTTTTTTTTTGCGAGAGAGAGAGGGTGTGCATGTGCATGGGGCGGGGGTGGAGGGAGAGAGAGAATCTTAAGCAGACTCCATACCCAGTGTGGAGCCCGACGTGGGGCCCCATCTCATGACCCTGAGATCATGACCTGAGCCGAAATCAAGAGTTGGATGCTTAACTGACTGAGCCACCCAGGTGTCCCTTGAGGCCTTGTTTTTAAAACGAACTCCTTCTTCAAAGTGTTTAATATTTAAAAATTTTAACTGCATTTTTAAACTTTTGGAATTGGATGGCTCAATGGCATTTTCTTTAAGGACAGCTTACATAGCTTTCTGCAGGCTTGGAACCCTGCTCTCAAATTGTATTCATATTCAGACTTTGGCTTCCTTGTGGCTGTGTGTGTGTTTGGGAGAGTGTGTGTGTGTATGGAGGGATTTATGGGTGCAGTCCTGCTAGGCGACTTCCTGGAAGATCGTTCTGAATGAGCTACATAGAGGTCCTGAAGGAGACATACTGTCACAGCCTCTGGTTCCCATACAGGCTTTATGAACCATACACGGCTGGAAATAATTAGCAACTGCAAGATTTGGAAAGTAAGGAGGAAAGAGGTAAATCTTGTACCCAGAGTCAGACACGGGAATTTGGAGTGGTGTCTTCTTCCTGTGAATCGGACGTTGTATTCCAGAAGCCATGAGATCCCGAACTCTACTTACCTTTTAGGTGATGATTTTAGGAACCAAAAATATCCTTTGCCTTTGTGGTTCTGATAAACTGATAATACAC